TCATCGGCACGAAAGCAGGCGCACAACAAGCTGCTGAGAAGGACGCCACCACTCAAAGAGCAGCACTGAAGGTTCATAAGAAGTGACCTCGGTTTTCTGAGGGCCATTGACCTCTGCAAGGCCAAACTTGAAGCTGTTCTTGAAGCTGCGATCTCTTTGAATGCATTTTGCGCCCTAATCTTAGCCTGCGAGGCTCGTAGGCTAAGAGTCTTACCCGTAGCCCGCGTTGCGATTGTGCGATCAGCCAGCCAGCCAGCCAGCTGGCTGGCCAGGCCAGCGCAGCTAAATGCAGCACAGTGCAAGGAGAGCTCTCAATTACTGTGTGTGGGATCAGATCTGCTATCCAGTGCTGACTGTTAAGCGGACATGGAGTTCTCGTGGCCGTTGTACACACACCGCCAGTTAGGTCAGTACAGGTGAAGGTCGAGCTATTTACGGCTGAAGACCTGGTCTCCACCAGGTAACCACAGCGAAACGCCGAAGCGAAGGGCTCGAGAATGGGAGCCAGGCCACCAACACGCACCCGCACCACGTAGACGCTCAGAGTCGAGATGACATTCGACCCCGCTTCGACGCCTTGCATGCCCAGTCCAAATTCATCGGAGGAAACGGTTGGCGGAGGGCAGCGAGCCCGGAGGAACGCGCGCCAATGGCAGGCGAGACGCCTGATTTCACCAGATCGGCGTGGTGGCATTTGTATCTTTCGGGGGTCGACCTTTCTGAGGACATCGAAGGGGGGCGGCTCAGCCTCATGCACTCGGCCGTTATTGCGCACACATCGACACCCAGCTAGCTCCATTTTCTCCCGTGGCCAGCTCACCGCCCTCACTCGTCCGCTTTTCGCCGCCAAGCGCATTTTGGTCCGACCGCTCCCCTTTCGTCGTAAATAATAAGGCAGAGTGGGACCTGGCCGAATGAGGCGCGTCTCTGGCCCGCCGCAGCCGATAGTGGGACCTGGCCGAATGAGGCGCGTCTCTGGCCCGCCGCAGCCGATCCACGGACCAAATAATTTCGAAGGCGCCGCGGTACCGTGAAGAGACCGACCGACATGGCCTCATTCGCCGAGCGAGCTTGAGCTTGAGGCTTGGGCTGCCCTTCCTGACAGACCACCGAGGCTGGAGACGGATCTCAATGGAGCTGAGCGACTTTGACAGGGCGTTGCAGCCGCCAGACGCGCTCGAGCCGGAACCGGCCACGCCGCCGCCCGACGAGCACAAGTTCGCCCTGCCCTTCATCCTCAACGTGCCGGCCGCGGCCGCATCTGTGGGCGCCATCAGCTCCAGCGGCAGCGCGACGCAGCTCAGCAAGGAGGAGAAGAAGCGCCGCCGCACCTGCAAGCACGAGGGCTGTCGCAACTACATCGTGCACAAGGGGCTCTGCTGTCGCCACGGGGTGAGTCTCTGTCTCTCTCTTTGTCTGTGTCTGCGTGTGGGACTGCTTAGTCAGCCACGTGGGGTCCGTCCCGGGGCCGTGGACGCGATGGTGACACTCACGCGGACACTTGTTACTGGCCCCTCTGTCCACTGTGGCTCGCAGGGCGGCAAAAAGTGTACGCTGGAGGGCTGTTCGACCAGCGCCAAGCACCGCGGATTGTGCTGGAAACACGGTCAGTTGGACGCAACAAGAGGCTACTTCCAGTGCTATTGCCGACCGACTGGACGGCCGACTCGGAGCAGGGCTGACAGGACGCTTGACTGTGGTGTCTGTGTCTGTCTTGTAAATGTTGCTGTATGCTAGGCGGCTCTGTAAAGTGCAAGGAGGTCGGCTGCGACAAGAAGGCCAAGGCGCGAGGGCTCTGCTGGGCCCACGGCGGAGGCACCAAGTGCCGCAACACCGGGTGCGCCAAGGTGGCCGTCTCCAACGGATTCTGCTGGGCGCACGGCGGCGGCAAGCGCTGCGAGGTCAAGAACTGTATCAAACCGGCATACGAACGCACGCACAACTTGTGCGAGAAGCACTTTGTGCAGTTGCGTCACGCCAACTACTATGAGCTGTGCGTACGATTGGGTTGAGTCTCGTAGCCTTGTCCTCCCAGGCTGACGCAGTCGTGTCGTGTGTATTTGCCAGGTGAATTGATGCAAGTCGAGAGGAGAGGAAGGCTCGATAGACATCAGAGTGCGGCTGTGACAGCAGCTTGGAGCGAAAGAAGCTACCAGAGCGTTGATCAGACTGCATACGACAGCGACCAGCGGAAGAGGTTGCAGCAACTACGTCGCAGGATCCCTCATTAGGCGGACGTTCACCTGCTTCACTGCACGGTGTAAGCACTAAATAGCTTGCTCAAACGACATCTATGTCGTTAGATTACTGTTTGCCAAGACGTAGAAATACAGACTGGAGTGATTGAGACTGGCGAAGAAAGCGACCGCCGTGGCAAATCCTTTCCTGTAGTTGAAGTGGTAAGTTAGCTGTCGGAAGGTTTATCGATTCAAAACTGTCAAATCTCGAGTTGCAAAATAAAATCGACAGCGCACGACAATATGGAACGTCGCTTTACCAAACCTATGAACCGCTGGACGAAACAAACAAGTCAGCGCATTTACAGGGCGTCGTGCCACAGAAGACGCAACGTTTCGTTGCCCATGAATCCTTCTCACGTTGAGAATGCCAACTCTAGTGAAAGAACAAGTTCTCTGCTTCAAGGGTACCTTCCATTTCATGCATTGGCGTCAGATTCTGACTCAGAACGAACGTCCTTGTGCACCTTTTTGTTAGCTGCCCCGATGCCATACACGCACATGAGTGAGATGTCAAACATGTATGGTTCAACTCTCGATAGTGTTGATGTAGTCATAAAGCAGTGCTGGTTTGAACGTGGTAGGAAGCACCGACAATGCAGGCCGCTCTGCCTTCGCCTATGATAGAACATAGATTTATTCAACTGTTCACCCGTGAAGCTCCTACAACGTCGTCGTTCTCTGTTGGTCGCCTACAGAACGCTTGCGCATTCCATCCACTTTATAAATCAAAAATGGAAATGACGTGATAAACATGCCCCCTCACTCTCGAAAATTAATTAAATAATTGCCGATACCGATGAATTTGGATGGGGGGCCCCGGGGTCCCGCCAACTGTTTCATATTCCCCGTTAACCATGCACGCATATATCAAACGAGCTCTGGGTTAGTACCTGCGCGCCACTTTCTGCTTTATACCCCACAACGACCCTGCGTACATTAACTCTCGCAGACAGGTACACGATGTTATCATGAGGAAAACAATCGAGGTGCCGAGCTCACCCGTGCAAGTTGTAGATTACGGCAATACGAATAAGTTAAGGGCAGCGTTGCAGATTGCTCAAACGGCCCCAACTGTATGAAGCGGTCATGAACTCGCCGGAGCATCGGCGGCGGATATTTATGAGCAACAAGATTGCGGCATGGTCTGTGGACGAACGACTGGAGAAATCAGGTCTACATTCTTGACTAAAAGTTCGTGAGCGCCCTTTTCGTCACCTTATCCCCAGTCGGGCACTTTGCTAGGACAAACCGAAAAAATGCTAGGACAAATCCGAAATTCACGGACGTAAAGTATAGTGTACCATACAAAGTCGTGCTGAGCACGAGGAAGCTCTGAAATTTCTAGTGCGACGTTGGCATGGCTAGAAAGCTACATCGTGAGAGGTAGCAACGATGAATAGTGTAGGAGGGCAACAGAACAGCAAAAGCTAGTTATTCTCACTTACTACTGATTCGTAATACTGCACTAAGTCCTCGGGTTTGTCCGTCGTAGTCGCCTCTGCGGCAGTGGCGATAGTGTCATTCACTAGCGTGGTGCTGAGCATCGTGGCGCAATTGTTCTCCACGTAAGTATTGATGGGGTTCTTGCACAGCGCCTCGAGGTCTTCTTGGGTGTGGATGTTGGCCGTCGCTGTGGCCCACGAGATGGATATTCTTGATGGACCCGTCCGCGTACTCCTCGCCCCTTTCCGGGTAAAGCCCGTAGCAGGAGTCGTAGTTGACCGAGCGGGCTGCGCCGTAGTGCGTGACCCCACATTTGATCTGCGTGCGAGAGCCATGAGCATGAGCCTCGCAGCTGCTACGATGATAGGCCCCAACACCCAGCTTTGGGTTGCTCAGACCTTCGCAGAACGCGAGCATCTCCTCGACCACCATGTTCTCGCCAGGCCGACGCGCCCGATACGGCGCGTGGAGATGGCGCCACGGTGGACACGAAGGAGAAACGCTGCCCGGGCAGCCCACGCGCGGTTGACCTTGTTGACCACGGCCTTGGGTTGGGCTTGCGCCTGGAATTTTCAGGGCTCGGACCCTACGGGATAAATAGGAAGTTGCATTTATCCCAAGAAAAACCCACGCCATAAATTACCGTATAAATTACTTACGGATGCGGGTTGCGCGAAGATGGACCAGGGTCAACATTCACGTGGATGATTCATAACGGCAAGATGTATACGATATAACGGGTTTTACAAACTGCTCTGCATCGATAACTGCGTATTGTGTAGTCTTATCTATAAAATGTCCGGACAATCAGACCCTTTAAATTACGAAGCCTGTGTTTTTTTATCAAAAAACTCTATTTATGAAGTTTGAGAAATGGGTGACCCGTACAGCAGATGTAGCATTCAAGCAAAGAGGGCGTTTGCTATAGTCTAATATATTCAAACAGCGCGGAAAGTGGTATCACCGGTAGACTCTGAAATAAATTTCAGAGAATATTTGTCCTAGAACAACATCAGCGTAAGCAAGCAGAACAGGCAAAAAATGGAGAAAAGTCAACACAGAGCAGTGGCGGATGGAACAGGTTCGTGAAGGCGGTGTGCAAATGACACAAATGGGGCAGCCACTAATGCGAAATAACTTTGCTAATCATGGATATATTGTAGGAGCGGTCCGTCTAGGACAAAATTTGTGGTACACTATATTGAAATCAAGTAAAAACCGATTTTGTCCTCCCGTTTGTCCTAGCAAGAGGGCCGACTGGGGTTATCGTAACGGGCTGATCGTATTCTGGTGGTGTCGAAGGTCCGTCTAACAGTGCGCCTGTCAGACGCCACTATCGATCTGTCGCCTTAAAGAATATAATAGCACGGTTTGAGTTTGGACATTTGAGCGTGGCGTTCATACTCCAACCCCCGTCAAGTCTTTCCTAGAAGCGCAAGGTGGGTCTTGACAAGATGACGGTCTCATCAAACGCGCAAGCTGACTCCGATAAACTAAGTTATGCGTTTTGTGGGTTTACAGGTATGGAACTACGATTGCTCGTTCAAGGCCGAAGGAACAAGTGACGACTTTATCAGCAGTCGCTCAGTTGAAGTTGGTTAACGAGGGAGTGGAGTTTCTGTGTTCGACGAGCCTCGTTTGCTGGATTACCTACTCGAAGGTGCGTACAGGGGGGGGGGGCTCTCTGTCAGTACTACATGCTCCCGAAGCTCCATTCTCACAAGGGTAAATCGAAGATCGGCATAGGTGTGTCTGTTAACAGGGGCACCCCGTTGACACCAATGCAGGCGAGTACGTGGACTGTATGCTGAACTTGAAAGCATTTAACGGTGGATGATTTACATGCAATTTAGTTCCGTTGCCATTGCATTTTCTTGTATATATTGCAGGAGCCTCGCCGCGCCCGTCAAACGTGCAAGATCTCTCTTCCATCCTTCAGCTGATCGTGATGCTTGACGCAGTAGTTGTGTGTGCGTTCGTACGCAGCCTTCTTGCAGCCTTCGTACGCGCACCGCTTCCCTCCTCCGTGTGCCCAGCAGCAGCCGTTCGACACGGCCACCTTCGTACAAAGTGGCGTCGAGCACTTGGTGCCTCCTCCATGCGCCCAGCACAGACCCCGCGATTTCCCTCGGCGCTCGCAGCCTTCCACAACGCACTTCACAGACCCGCCTTGTTAATTCGTCGATCAACCAGAAAAAAATGAACACCTAAGTCGCAAACCACGAATGATAATGTAATTGCAGGACTGCTCGTACTCACCGTGACGCCAGCACAGCCCCGCGTTCTTGGCACTGGAGCGACATTCTTGGACGGAGCACTTCTTGCCGCCCTGCAGCAATGTGCCACAAAGGTTGAAATAAGTATCTGCACACCCCTATCGTATTACCTTTTATGCAAGCAAGCAACTCACCCCGTGGCGGAAGCAGAGGCCCTTGTTGATGATATAGTTGACGCAGCCGTCGACCTTGCACTCTCGAGAGCGCCGCTTCTCCTCGTAGCTGAGGGTCCTCCTGACCTTGGGCTTGGACTGGCTGCTCAGATTGGGGTCTACCTTGACAGGCGTGGGGGTGTTTGCAGCAGCCTGATTCTCACTCGAGATCGGCGGCGTGGTGAGCGGCGACTCAACCGCATCGGATCCCCAGTGGTGGCTGAACGCGGATACGTCGGTGGTGTTCATGATGAAGCCCAAGGAGGCCTTTATGCTGGCTCGTCCCAGCTGGGAGCCGGTGCCTGCCCCCGTCCACGAGGCTTCCACTGCGTTGACAGGTGCACGGAGCATGGTGCGACGCTCGAATTAACAGCGGGGTACAAGCGACGCGTAGCGTGCGCGCGGGGCTGCAGAAGAGGAAATAAGCGCCGAGTTCTGGCGGGTGGGAGGACTGCAGAGGTCGAAATAACCGTCCGGCCCCCATTGTACGCGCACGTCCGTCGAAAGGGCAAGCGGTACCCACCGCAGGCCCAACCGCTAAACGAGTACCATCTCAGTGGGTTCAGCTGCGACTACAGAAATGAGTTCGGCTTTCAGAGTTTTACAGTAAAAAAAATACCAGCAATAACATTCGATCTTCATCAAGTTCCTTCACATCCACGCCACTGTCTTCAGACGCCTTCCCCCGCCTCAGAGATCGTTTGGGTTTTCTCGCAGCTTCAGTCACTCGACGCCCTCCGTCAAACTCCGTGGAGGCGACGCTGACCAGCGGAGACTGATCGATGGCAGTAGCGCATGTCGCCAG